AATGCTATATGGTTATCTGGGCTGGAGAGAAAGAGAGAAGCAGCTGAAGGCTGACCATGTCACTCACAGTGTGCCTATGGCTTCAGAAAATGTCATATTAATCATATTGATCTGAAGGTTGGGCTGAAGTTCGGCTGTGATCCATAATTGATAGCATGTTAACTGGGCCCCCACATATGCACCAATTGTAGCAGGGAGCTTTAATGTGTTCCCTATAATATTTACTTGCTTGGCTAATTGAAAGCTATTTTTGCACGGGAATCAAACAAGAAGTCTGTCCGTGGGAAATTACTCTTTTCTATCTCAATAATGTTGTGTGTAGGGCTTGGATAACTGATGATTGTGGAGAGTAGGGCGGGGGTATGTCTTTTCTCAGAGACACTTAGGGTAGGATTGGGAATGGATATCCACAGAGAACACTTGATTAGAAAACTATGATAAGAATTTTGCTCTGCTTTAGCTACTGCCATACCCCTGTAGGAGAAGAATTAACTTCTTAGATTTCTATTGACAAGTTGGGGAAATTTAGATGTGTAAATGAGTGTTTTGGGTAATATGTTGAAAAATAAGAGAGGTGGGGAAAAGACCCCACCAGAACATTTTCCAAGGTCAAATTTCTGCCATGTATTCCCTCTTCTAAACTGGGTGTGTGTCAGGGGAACATGAAAGAAAAGGGGAGCCACGTATGTGGATCGCTGTCACTGCACTGCTACAGGTCTTTGTTTTCCCCCTCATGAGAAATAATATTATGTCAGGAAGATGTTTCTTTCTAACCAAACACTGACATAAAACTGTATTATTATTTTACTTTTGCTGATGCCTAAGAGGAAGACAAAGATTGCAACACATAAACCAAACACCTAAAATAGGTGGTGACTAAAGGAAAAGGTATCCAGAAGGAAAATACCAAACACCTAAGTAAGTCACATAGATTTCCTACTTAAGATTTCTATCTTCTGACGTTGATCCAGAAAGGTTTACATGACAAAGAGGGATCAGGACAGAGTGACACTGTAGGCAAAGGGGTGCACCTGAATTCCTGCCACCCTTTGGCACTAGGATGCTACTTCGGGGCTATATTCAAGTGTCTTGTCCACAGATCATGGAGACCTGAACGTTCCTCACAGGAGTAATGCTCTCCTACAGGGTAGAAGTGCCAAAGCTAACTGCACTCCAGTGGCACTGGCTCGCTCCTGAGGTAGGATCAGAGTTGTCGACCTCCTCTAGGAGGAGAAGGTGGATAATTCCCATCTCATAAGGGAATGCTCTAACCACCAGCCAGTAAAACATTCCTAAGAGGCAGCACAGGGTAGAGTACATCTCCCAGTCCTCCTGCCAAACCCCAGCCTCTCTGCAGACAGGAATGCAGAAGTCATGGGGCAGAATAAGAGCAAATAAGATGGAGCCTGATCCTGTTACTAGGGCATGGGGCAGGGGCCGACCCGCCTTTCCTCGGCTGCCTTCCAGCTGAGACTCTGTCAATGGGACTCCTCTTGAAGGAATCTCCTTCCAGTACCAAGGAGTGGGCCAGCATCCCAGTGGAAGTGGACACCTAACTTCTAGCTCCTTGAGGAGGGACTGAGCATGCTGTCCTTTTTGTCTGTAAGGAACAACTGTGCTATTCTGGGATGACCTCTGAACCGTTTCTGATACTTGCTTGTAGACAAGCTCTCCTACAACTTCTCCTGGGGATGTAACATAGCTTATGTGGGTTTTGTGGGGCCACGCACCATCTTGCTTTTCTTCTACAGCTGGTGTTGCAGCTTGGTGCTCTAGGCAGAAGGAGAGGCAGATAAGGAGATGTGGGATCTAGGTGACACAAGAAATGCTTTGCATTTTGTCTTCTGCTGTACGGCAGGCGTGGGGACTAAGGGATGTGGCTGAGCAGGCAGAGGCTACGGCTCTGCAGTGCTTCCTGAGTGACAAAATGGTGTTCGTTGTATACTTGAGCATGGTGCTGGCCTTTGGAGTGCCCTGTCCCTCACTGGTGCTATCACAGGCTCTGCTGTGTCTAGGCAGATCTGGACTGCTCAGCGAGCTTGTAATATCCAGGCCATAATGGAAGAGAAATAGATAACAGAAAAGGATCCGAGAAGGACCCTAAAAGACTTGAAGAAAGAAGGGAAGCAAATGGAAGAAGAGGAGTTAGTAGAAGGTAGGTCACCTTCCACTAAGGAAGGTAGCTAGGTTAGTAGAAGGATGGTCAGGATTTTCTCGTTGAAAAATGGAGTTTCTCAGAAACTGAACTTTTATGATGCACTGGACCAGCCCCAAGCCTGGAAAGGGTGAGCACCCAGGAAGCTAGCAAGGCCCACAGCAGGGCATGAGCGCATCAGGGACTTGGCCAGACAGCTGTGAGGAGGTATTGCGGTTAGCACTGTTGGTGCAATCTGAAAAGAAACATTCCAGCTTTTAGGATGCAAAGCTTGTCAGAACTATGCTTTTTTTGTCCAATATTGGATATTCTGAGTTTTTATCTCAAACTGACTAGTGCGAACAATTGATCAGTGTAAGAGACAGCTTATAAAACAGGTATAGTTAAAAATATCAGTGCATTGTATTTAGTGCTCTGCATTATTTACTAGTAAAAGATGATGGTCTGCATGGAAAGATGTCAGACGCTGCACAAGACTTGTGAATAGTTCTGCTTCCTCCAACAGCACGTCAAGTGCTTAAAGCAAAAACAAACAAACAAAAACATGGTGAATGGTGAATGTGATACTAAGAGTTTAAACAGTAGCACCAATTAATGACTCCCCCTCCTGGGGTCTGACCCCCCCTGAAAATGGAGAAACTCAGAAATAGTTACTGGTTTATATAGTCTGCACCTGGGAGGCATATTCAGTTTCAGATTTGGATCTGATGTCTTTTAAACTTGGGGTTCATTATTTTTCTACTTAAATACTTCGGTGATATTGCTACCAAAATAGCTACTCTTTACTCTGTGAAGAGTAATGTACATGAGTTTTCGGGATTTTTTTGTTCACTTCCGTAGTATCATTGTTTTATTCTTGATTACTTATCTCAGTAGGGTTGGGCCTACAAGCGTTACAGAAATGTAGTTTATTCAGGTAAGTGTAATCCTTCAGACATATTTATGAGGAGCATCCATCTTGAAACAATTTTCAGTTATTTTCGGCACTATGTTTATTTTCCAGTTGGCCATATGAAAAATGTATTATCCCATAATTTTTCTAAGCTATTCTTCATTTTCATTCTTTTAGTTTCAGGTTCTCTATATAATATGACCCTTGTTATTATGATTTATGGCTTTAGGTGAACAGCATGCTATATGTGGTGTTAATTGCACTGGATAGGATCCAGAGGCATTAAAATGCTTCTCTTCCCTCCTCTGCTAATGAGCTTTGATTTCTTAACTGTCAAGAGGGATTATTTATTAGAGCATCATGTTTGTGATTCTACACAGTGGCTAAGTGTCAGCATTGTCACTCTAACACCACCTATTCCCTCCTCCCGCAGCATAGTTTTGACACAAAAGAAAAAATGATGTATGCTGAAACTTGGCTTAGGCACTGCCTGTTTTGCAGCAGGGTAGCAAAGGTATAATGGGAATAAATATAGGAGTTTTGGAACAGATATAAAAAGAGGACCTGGTCAACTTTGGGAAATGCATGTTAAAGTAATATTCCTGAGGAGAGAATAAGATATTAAGTATTTTATTTGGAGTGGATGGATTCATTTTGTTCATAGGTTTGAGCAGATGGTGAGAAAACTGGGGCTCCTAATATCTAATAATAGCCCTAAAACAGTCTCCTTCTTTGGCTTTGTGGTAGTCATTTAATCTTCCTCCTTAGCTCCCTCCATTACCCAAAGGCAGATAAATATTTCTTATTTGTCTGAGATAAGAATAGGTTAATTGATTGTTGTACAATGTGAAGCACTGTCTTCCATGAAAAATCTGGGTTTTCTTTTTAGTTATTCATAAAAATAAATAGTTTTGATTTTTTCTGGTCAATCTGGACATTCCCTCACAAAAGTCTATCTAATATTTAATAGTACAATATTTCTATCAAATAGCAAAACAAGTGTATACGCTCCCCAAAAAGAAACTAAAGCCTTACATTAATATATTAATGAAGTAACATTTCAAAAATAAAATGATAAGCAGACAGGACATGTAGGGAAGAATGTATAATGTAACTTCAGCTGTGGTATATTTCTTATGGTATGCATTTGATATCATCAAATGAAATATGTTCTGCTGCACATTTAACTGAAAAAACAGGAACAGAAAAAAATGAATAATCAAGGCAGCACAGCTGCCTCAGTGTTACATCTGGATCCTCATATTATAGTTGGTATAAAGCGTTTGTACATTTTTAAAAATTTCTGGTTAATCTGGTATATCTTTCCCATTTTTGGAAACTCTTAATGTTTACGTTTCCTATATGTTTTCTTTTTTTAACTATGTAGTTACAATGTTGTATTGATATAGCTTTTTATTCAATTGCCATGTTTGTTTTGAATTAGAAATCGACCTGTCTGCACTTAATAATGTGAACAATTAAATATTCTCAGTAAGATTTTCACTCTGCCAGCTAAGCGTCCTCAGAAGATTTTTTTTTTAATTGCCTTATATGTTTCCTTTAATTACATTCCTTTCCCAAGCGATTATATCCTCATAGAGGCCCCATTCCTGCCAGCTATCCTGGCACAGAAGCAGAGATTTAGATGCAGAAAAGTGCTGGGAAGGACTGCCAAGGGAAAAAAAGGCATAGCCCTTCAGTCAAAATAGAGGGATGCCAGAGAAGCTGAAAGTCTTGCAAAGGGTTCTCTTTGGTGAAGAAGCCAAATAAAAAGCTGAGTAATTTTGGAGACACTGGGAAACAGTAGGTCGTAGTTATCTAATGGATGGAGACTACTGGGAGTTGGCAGGAGGATCTTCTGGAGCACCAGAAGGAGGTATGAAATGCAAAAAGTCTTCCTTTTGGGGGCGTAAAGTATAGGGCGCCTGCGGCTGGGCTCTTTTAATGCTGCAGGCTTAGCGCTTTCCTGTTGCTTGAGACGAGAGGTGCAAAGGCAGCAAGGCATCCCCACGGAGCCTCTGCAAGGAGAAGAGCTGGGATCCATGGAAGAGCCGGGCACGTCTCAGCTGAAAGACCCTGGTCTGGAGAGGAAGATAAACGGGTGGGGAAAAGTTGACCCCCGGTCACCCTGAAAGGGGTGGAGGGGAATTTTAGCACACAACAGAACTGCCAAAGGAGCATAGCTCCTATCACAGAAGGAAATTGCCTGTTACATTTAAATTAGGAAAGGGAGTTTGCACCAGATTTCAGCAGCGGAAAGCGTTAATTTTGTGCAGAGCCCAACGCCCCTTCCATGCTAGGACTAAAAGAGTTAGGAAACTTTGAAGCCTTGGGTCAGCAGAGAGTCCTGGCCTCAAGCACTGTATTTTAAAATGCCAGTCAGCTGCAGTGGTTTAATGCGCAACAGCATGTTTCAGGTTACAAGTGTTTGGCGAGAGCCACAGCTGCAACTATAGCTGACATCTACAAACGCTGATTGACTACATCTGATGGAGATGCTGGACTTTTGTTATCCTGGTCACTGGAGCTAAGAAACCTAGCCCAAAGAGCTTTAAAACTATAGATTTTAGAGCTAGATCGGACTCTTCCAATTTACTGATCACCTACATGTATAAGCCATACCATTCCAGCATGCCTTGCCTGCATTTGTCTTAATTTCTGCAGTTTAGACTGAAGATTGCCAGTGATTAACATAAACTCCTTTGGTAGAAAAACTGTGCATCTTATTTCATGTCTGACAGCATCTTAATTTTTGGCTATTGCATCTCCTTATATCTCTGCCTACTAAAATCTTTCTCTTGCCTTTATTTGGTGCATAGGCAGTATTACAGGTGCAACATGATGGCATTTAATTAAAAATACTGATTTTGATGTTTCTGAGTGTACAGGATTCATGTTTTTAGATTTTTTTCCCTAACAATCATAATTAGACAGCAATATTTGGGCTTTATTTTTAATGTAAGTTGCATTTCTAACATGATAATATAATAGGGGATTCTAGATTTTAAGAAAATGAATCATGCAACGAAATCACAAATATGACTTAAATGGCAGTTAACTATGAAAACGATTATTGTTAAAAATTCTGTTTATTATTTGAAAAGATTCTCACTCATTCCTGCCTTCCAGCTGGAGTTTCCACTTATTCAGTTAACCTTGGCAAGCTGAAGAGATGATTTCACATTCGGCATAAATGCAGTGTGGGAAGCAGGATTAGCCTTACATTAGGAATACACGATTAATTGCCTAGTAACAATGACCCTTAAACCCTTGACTTGGATATTGATTTCCAAAATATAGTCACCTCTTGTATGATTGTAATCTACATTCTTAATGCCAAGGTTAATGACACTACATTTAGCTGTTTTCAAGTGCATATTGTTCAAATGAACTTGGTTTATCATGCAATCCAGATTGCTCCCAAGTGCCACCTCCTTGTTTGATAGCTAGCAGTCAAAATGGATTTTCTTTGTAATATTGTTAAAGCAAAGCTACCTCACAAGCATTAATGAGCTCAGTTGAATATATAAATGAGAGTCAGTTAAAAATACAAGGAAAGAAATTTATGCAGACTTTAATTCTATGTTTCTTAAATCTTTCCTTTGACTTTTAACAGATGAAAAATAGCATTTGGCAGGTGAAATGGTGTTGCTTTTATGGAAGTAATTCTTGGGGGACCTCTTCAGCGTAACTTGGCCACTTCCTAATCAAGTTTTTCAAGGAGCGCAGCCAGTGTTGTGATCTCCACCTCAGGTCTACTCTCTAGAAGGTGAAAAGAAACAGGAATGATTTTCTCCTTCTGCAGTCCCCTCCCAAGTGGTTCCCATTCATGTCACTTCGTGGAAGAGGCAGATGTTTGGCAGCTTTTGATTTCTTTATGGACTCAGTGCATCTGCAAGAGGAGAGATTTAAAAAAATAAGTTCAGAGCTGCTGTAAGATCTTAGAAACAGGGAAACAAATTCTTTTAAATGTTTTAAATTCTTTAAATTTCTTTTAGTTACTTTCCATGAGAAATGCAAACTATAGCCTATGAATGCAGCTGTGTTTGTCAGGTCCTTTGTGAAATCCTGCTCTGAAAGTTGGGGCAATTAAAATCAGTATCCAAAACCAAGGGAGAACTCAGGCCCTGTTCTGGGAGCAGTATGTGAGAACCAAGGCTCTTCTTCTGCTAAAGACTTTTTTTTTTTTAAATCAGCTGAGGAGATAGAATACAGTTGTCCTTATGACTAAACGTTTTACAAAAAGAATATAAAGTCTATCTTTTCCATGTGTTGCCATAATATCCACACAAGAATGTATTACTTTATCTTTCTTATAATGCACTAATACATCTTTAAACTAAACTGCTTGAATGGGCATTGATGAAAAGCACAGGTAGACAAGAATGAATATATCTATATTATTCTATAGACACGGATGTATGAAACTATAAAGAGGTATGCTCTCTGTCTGGTGTCCCCATTCATCTTTCTCTCGACCATTGCTACTAGATGTAATACTACACAGCACTGGTAAGAGAAAGCAGCTGAGTCTTTGCACGCACTGCTGCAGGTTCAAAAATGAAGCTAATAAAAGTTCAGTAATACTGCACAGAAGCAACAAAAGCAAGAAACTTGCACCACAAATTGCACCACAAGTAAGACAGTGATAACTAATTCAGAGAGTACGTTAAGCTTCTGTGCCAAATCATATACTTAGCCTATATTAATGGTAAGGGAGCCAAAGCGGGGAAAAGCAAGTCCACTTGCATCCACTTCTATATGAATTATTTTTGTGAGCTACTGAATACAGATGGTCTTTAGCCACACAGAAGTTGGGATGAAAGATCTTAGGTTTGTAGCCTTTAATTGCACAGTGCAGTAATTTAGATTTTTAATTTTCTTCATTTAACTGTAATTCCCAGACTGAAAAATTTTCCCCTTTAAATAATTCAGGTTCTCTTCCTCTGACTGAAACATAAGCCTGTTTTTCAACCTGCTAGCACTCGTGTATAAAGCACAGTATGTAAAAGAGGCCCTAAATTAAAAGATTTATTAAAATTATTGGTATGGGAAACTTGAAACACTGCAGGTACCATTTCTTTGTTGTAAGTGGTCTTCCATGACTTCAGTATGAAGACCCCTTTCTTCCAATACACGTCTTCCTCAAATTCATCACAACAGCATAAAATGCATGAAGAATGCAAGCAACTCTGAGCTACTATCTGAAGTCAATGGGAGTGGAGTATTTACATAAATCCAGGAATTTTTGTTAGATCATTTCTGAGACTAGCTCTGCCCATATCCACGCTGAATGTCCTTTGCATTGGGATACCGTAACTGCCTCTGCACAACGCAGAGTGCCCATGGGAACCCAGCTATTCAACACCATGTTGCAGTGCTCCCAGTGAGGCTATGCTCGTATTTGCCCTGGGCTTGACGCCTCGCTGCCTTGCACACCCCACAACCTGCTAGGCAGCCGCACACAAGCGAGAGCACCTGATACTCTCCCCCTGGTTATCCAGTACTAGCCAGAGGGGAAATCAGTGCTACTCCATTAAGCTGTTCTCCGCTTGCATGTCTGGGTATCCATGCATACTGGCTGCAAGTATTTTTTGGCATCAGTTCAAAATAGCATAATGTCCAGGGCCAACTTCTGCTGATCAGCCAAAGGATTTGGGAAGTGAAAGGAGGGAGGCATGGCCCAGAAGTCAGTACCTGCAACTCTGTATTGTAGCTACCAAAGCATAACGGGATATCTTATGGGTAAATGTGTGTGCTGCCTGCAGCCAGTGTGAGGAAAGCATGAAGGGCCAGGACCTGCCAGGTGCCGTAGTGGGTACCACCCCTCTGCAGGGATGTCTGAGAAGAGACCTCAAGCCCAAGAGGAGGTGTGCTAGGAAAGGCAGCAGAGGTGTAAGGTGTTGCGTGTTGCTTTGTGGCAGCTGTGGTGTGCACAGTTGGCCTTAAAGAGCCCAGCAAGGGCATTTCCATGGTGGAGACTCTTGGCTTCCCGGCCCTGCAGCCAGCCCCTCTCTGGCACTTGCAGCCGTGTGGGAACTGCGAGGGGACAGGAGCTGCTGTAGAGGGGACCTGACAGACGCTATGGCTGCAATCTCAGAGTCTAAAATAAGAAACTTTTGAAATTTCTCAGTAGAGATGAACGAAGTCACATGAAGGAACTCTTTACCAGGACCTGTTGGAGAGCAAGGGGAGATGACTGGATAGTTCAAGCTTCAGCTGTATGTCTTTTTAGTACAAATAAACTTTTCACTTAATATGCAGGAAATTGTAAAATATGGATTGATATTTGATAATCTGTGAACAACGGAAATCTCTCCCAAGTGCCACACTGCAGTAAAGAAAAGTAAAACCACTCTATTTCCAACTTCAGCAGCTTCTCCTTGTGGAAGGAAAGAGTCCTGTAGGCCATATATCTTTTCCTAAAGGGCAGAAGTGCTGCAGGGGTACCATGGAGGTTGTGGAAGGACACCACAGGGTGGTGAGCAATGGGGGGCTGTGGTGGGAATGTAGCAGCAGGAAGCCGTAAAGGAGCAGTGGCAATGGCAGTAGTGCTGATGGGCTGCCTAGCAGGTGGTGAAGCAACAACAGAGCATCGCTTCGGTGGTGGCAAATGGCTATGTTAAGCTGAAGCCACTGAGAAATGCACTGTGTGGGCCTCCTAAGAAACAAGAGTTGTGATCACTTTAGCTGGGGTGGGTAATAAACCTCAAACATTTCATATCCATTGAGGAAGAGATCTACTTGCTAATCTGCCAAGCTTAGGCAGTGAGCTGTGAGGATATATAACCAGGAAGCAGCTAGCTACCTCATCAGTCGGTTGAAAGAGGCATATCAGCACCATTGCCAACACACCTTGGAGTAGCAGTACTTTCATATGCTACTAGTTATTCAGATTTTCTAAGGCAATCACTTCTTATTATTCTTCCACAACTCCCCTAAATAAAAGAACTGTTTACTTAAACCCTTCTTTCTAAAGTCATCATTTGCCAGCTGGGAAATAGTGCATGCTCTTGAGCCTACCTGATTTAGCTTCCTATGCTCGAGCAGAGTGAGGAACACTTCAGTGTTTCTGTTGAGGGTATCTAGAAAAGGAACCTG